TAAAATGTATTTAAAGAATTAAAAGTAAAAGTATTTTGCTGAGATTTTTGGAACAATTAAAGGATGAAATGTAGTGATTTTGATAAAAACTTAGCTGATTTTAATCGATTGAATTGATTTCTTGATTTTTCTAGCTGCTTTTGTGTTTTGTGTATTTGGTTTGCTCAAAGTTGGGCTGTTAACACAAACTAAAGTACTAAACGTGCTTTAATTAAAGTACAGATGCCTAAAATTTGTACTTAAGTATTGTACTTTTACTTTTTATTCATTATCTTCACCACTGGTTCAAGGTTTGAACTAAGCAGTTTGGAGAAATGTTGAAAAGGACAGTGAACGACAAATAATGTGTTAACACTGGAGAAANAAGTTATAATTCAACTTCTACTATTAAGGTACCTGTTTAAAAATGTACTTAAAGTATAAAAAGTAAAATATTTTGCAGAGATTTTTAGAACAATTAAAGGATGAAATGTAGTGATTTTGAAAAAGAATTTACCTGATTTTAAGCAATTCAGTTGATTTCTTAATTTTTTTAGCCGCTTTTGTGTTTTGTGTATTTGGTTTGCTCAAAGTTGGGCTGTTAACACAAACTAAACGTGATAAAAACGCAGTCTCCTCCATTTCAGCAGGTCTCACACTGTAAAGAAACGTACTTTTTACTTGTCAGTCCAGATCTAAAATGTACTCGAGTAGGAAGTACAGATACCTGCTCTCAAATGTAGTGACATAAAGTAAAAAGTATCTACTCTAAAATTTAACTTTAAGAACGGATGCCTAAAATTTGTACTTAAGTATTGTACTTTTACTTTTGTACTTCATTATCTTCCACCACTGGTTCAAGGTTTGAACTAAAGTCATGTTTTGGAGAAATGAGTTGAAGCTGTGGGGGACTTGGTGCAGTGAACGACAAATAATGTGTTAACACTGGAGAAAAAGTGTCATATAAGATGTATAACCACATCATGTTTTCTTTATTCAGATTGGAGCGCTGTGGTTTGTCAGAGAAGAACTGTTCCTCTCTGGTCTCAGCTCTGAAGTCCAACCCCTCACATCTCAAAGAACTGGATCTGAGTTGGAACAAACTGTTTGATTCAGGAGTGTCTCATCTGTGTGGTTTTCTTCAGAGTCCAGACTGTCGACTGGAGACTCTCGGGTCAGTTCAGTGTCTCTTACTTGTGTCATGTTTCTTTCACTAAAGAGCAAACACAGGTCAAAAAGTGCTGCTCCAACAAATGACTCCTGGCTCTCTACTGTACAAGTGTTCACTTGTGTGTGTAAAATCCCTCAATCGTCCAGGTCGAATTCAATCTATTCGGTTCTGTTCACTTATGGTAATTAGATTTCACCATCAAATTTGCAATAAACAAAAGGTATATTCTAATGAAAAATATTGATTTAAATGACATTAAGCCCAGAATGATGCATAAACATTCAGTTGTGTTTCATATGTTTTACTGTTATATTTGATTTAATTATTCAGAATGTCTCTATAAACACAATTTATATTTGTATGGACTTTAACCACATCATGTTTTCTTTATTCAGATTGGGCAAGTGTGATTTGTCAGAGAGGAGCTGTTCCTTTCTGGCCTCAGCTCTGAAGTCCAACCCCTCACATCTCAAACACCTGGAACTGTGGTCGAACAGTCTGACAGAATCAGCTGTGAAAGAACTCCTGGACCTTGAACAGAGCCCTCACTGTCGACTGGAGACACTGGAGTGAGTAGTGACTTTATGAGTCTGTTTTGAGCCTGGAGCAGTCGCACACATTTCCTTCTGTTGTCAAACTGACACATGGAGTGGCTCCTTATGCCCCAAACACACTGCAAGAGCATTTAGAAGCAGAACAGCGAGCAGAGTCCCCTGCACCAGGCTCATTTCACTTGTGCTCCCAGTTTATCAGATTTAAATGTGCAGACAGCAGAACAGAGCAGCACAGAGCCTCACGCCCTGGATCACAGCCCAGGACTCATCCAAAATACACTCCAAGTGTACATTTTTATCTAACACACAGACTCTCACTGCCTGTGTGTGTTAGACAAACATTGACTCAAGTAAAAGCATGTTTTTCATCAGGTTTTTTTTATTGCACTGGAAAACTCAGAGAATAATTTCTGATCTCTACTTCTCCACAGGTGGCAGCCCTGAAGATGTGTGTGTCATGTGCAGAAGTTCAGTCTCAGACGCAGCCCAGGGACAAGAAACACAAATTAAAATACTCCTCCTTCATTATGAGTTTGTTCCTACTCAGGACATTTACAGTGGTCATTTTGTGTGTAAATATGAGCTCAATCCAAATACACTGTGTGCACAATTATGAGGCGTTATGGTCGAGTATTTTGACCATATCATGATTTTTATGCATATTCTCCAACTCCAAGCTGTATAAACTTGAATTCTTATTGGATTTAAGCATATCTGGTGATGTGTATTTGTCTAACGTGGGAGGGTGTGGCCTAAGGAGATCAACACCCTGTATCAAGGTGTGCAGAGGCCAAGAAATATCTTATTTTGGTCTTAACAATTATTATTAAATTAAAAACTGAAATCAAACTTTTACATACAGTTCCTTTAATCCTTGTGTTACTTGACCTATTCACTCTGAGTTCTCAAAATGGAGACAGGCTCTACATACAGGCCCATCCACACTAGTACATATTCAAGTCATTTTCTTTGTGGATGCAGTGTTCGTCCACACTAATCTGATGGAAAACGGCTCCAAAGACGGAACGATCTGGTGCCTCCAACTCCCACGAATTCATCTGAGAATGGATCTGACGTTGATACTCTGACATAGGAGCTCTAGTTGCATCCTTAGTGGACCACATCACTGTGACTTGTGCCTTCCTGATTCGCTGGGTTCGTGACATCGGTCATGTGACACTATTGTGGAAAAAAGTTTAAACAAACAAGACAAATGCGAAACAGTGCAGCTGGAACTACTCACTAGTAGAAAAGACTGTTTTCACACTTGCCATCTTCCTCAGCTCGAAATCGGCTGCAGCATCTTCAGACACGGTGCTCCACTTCCTTGTTTTTACCGCCCATCGTGACGTTGTGACGATGTGACGCCAGCCTAGTCATGTGACTAGTGTTTCAGGCGGTTTCGCGCTCCTGTGTGGATCATGTCTGGACACAAATCGTTTCCAATACAGTGATACGGTAATTTGTTTCAGTGTAAACGTAACCAGAGGAGCAGGTTTACTCAGAAACATGTAAATCAGGAGTGTAATGGGCGTGGTACACAGGGGTACATCGTTCACCCACTTCTCCCAACGTAAGATATAAAAAAATAACAAATATAAAATAGCTACAACTTAAATGTCAAACCGGACCTACTGGCAACAGTGAAAACAAACTGCATAGACTCATGAATCTGCCCTACTGTCCTATGGTGACCTGAGACATGAAGGACCAGGACTGAACCAGGACTAAAACAGGTCTAAACCAGAACTGAACCAGAACTGAACCAGGACTGAGAGTTGGGTAACCACAGGAGAAAGGACCGGCGTAGAGCTCTGCGCCCCATGGAGCTAAGCGCAGTCATTGCCTAATTGCGCTTTGAGGACACCCTGCTCCACAGGCACGGGGTTCTCTCTCTCAAGTCCAAGATTAGTCCTGGTTCAGTCCTGGTTTAGTCCTGGTTCAGACCTGGTTTAGTCCTGGTTCAGTCCTGGTTCAGTCCTGGTTTAGTCCTGGTTCAGTCCTGTTTTAGTCCTGCTTTAGTCCTGGTTTAGTTCTGGATATATCTATCATAACAGAACACACTTGCATTGTAAAACTTTGTGTAATATTGTATTATATTTTATTAAGTCCTAATATTTTGTTTACATTTAATTATGACTTTTGGTACATTACACCATCACAATATAACAAATCATTTGTAAACAAACCAAGGTAATACTATTATCATAGACATCTACCCAGTACATTTTCACTAAATGGTTCACTACTGGATCATCCCCCTACATTTTCTGTTGTTATAACCACAGATCCATGTTTACAAGTTTGTTTCCTTTAAAGGTCGTATTTTGCGCAAAATTAACTCTTGTGAGCTTTAATCCATGTTATAATGTTGTGAACTAATAAAAAAAAAAAATTGGAGTTGTGTTTTGTTTTATTCACATGTGTGTGTGTAATCCTTTTATTATTAGTCTGTCTATAAGAGATGGGACCAAGTCATTGTTTTGAAAGTCTCAAGTAAGTGTCAAGTCTTTGACCTCAAGTCTGAGTCAAGTCTCAAGTCAAATACAGGCAAGTCCAAGTCGAGTCTCGAGTCACTGGCCCATAAGTCCAAGTCAAGTCCAAGTCGTCTGCTTTGAGCTTCAAGTCATTTCAAGTCTTTAAACCAAAGTACCAAGCTTAGATTTATGTAATTTATACGAATTTTAAACTAAATTGTACTTAATAAAATCATAGTATATTTATTAGTTATTTTATTATTATCATATCGTCAGAAGCCTCACAATATATCGAATCACAAGTTCCTTTGCGTAAATGCATGGTTTTATAGTAGCAACAGCTTATGAACATTAGGGAACTACATATCCCATGATTCAAAGTATATAAATATTTACTATTTATAGTAAATAAATAGAATGTATAGTATATAAATGTTGTAAAAATATTCATTTTTCCTTTTTAAATGCCTTTTTAAAAGATCTTAGTGTGAATTGTTACATCAGAATAGAAAGAATTCAGATTTAAAAGTGCTTCTCAAGTCTTCTCAAGTCACAGGCCTCAAGTCAAGTCCCAAATCTTAGTCCATTTTATCAAGTCAAGTCTCAAGTCCTAAAAATAGTGACTCAAGTCTGACTCGAGTCTGACTCGAGTCTAACTTGCGACAACTTGCAAGTCCCCACCTCTGCTGTCTAGATCTCAAAAACTCAAAATGCTCTGTTCCACCTTGTGATGTCATGAAGCGATAGTTTTCAAGTTAACACCTCCTTTTATCTTTAATTCAGGAGAGACGTACTTTCACAAAAAAAAAAAAAAAAAAAAAAATTTGACACGTTTATTGTTTTCAATCAGTTGATAGACCCGGAAATAACATCGCACTTAAAAACTCCATAGACATACATGTAATTTTCCCCACTGTGATGTCACTTTAACGTAAGAATGGACTTGTACGTGATGCATTTTTCACAGTGTTGCCTTATGCCCGCGCCCGCCCTGCTGTGACCCGGGGGGATCCTCTTCGGGGTGCAGGAGCGTCCCTCCTCAGGTGCCCACACTGTCTCTGGCACGCCTCCATGCTCAGGAAGTTGTTGCCGTTGCCCTGGCAGTTGCCGTACCAGAACTCGGTGCATTTGCCCGCGGTCGAGTCGTAGTAGAAGCGCACTTTCCACGTGTCGCAGGGCCCTTCGTCTCGAGGCAGGGAGCACACGTCGTCAGCAGAGGGCGCTGCGGGGCGAGGAGGGGGAGGCGGTGTAGGCTGGGAAAAAGCACAGGGATGTGACTGATTATCCAAGCGGTGATGTTTTTGTGTTTTTTGGAAGCATTTCTGTTTGGAGACTTGAGACATTAAAATATGCAGTGGTGGAAAGAGCACTGAAAATGTGTACTTAAAGAGGAAGTATTCTAGGCTACATTCAGACTGCAGGGCTTAATGCTCAATTCGTTGTTTTTTTTGTGAAATCCAATTTTTTTGCGAGGTTGTTCACGTTTCCAATTAAATGCGACTCGTATGTGATCTCCAGTGTGAACATTAAATGCCCCAAAAGTGTCCCGCATGCGCATTGGACGACACGACGACGTCACAAGCAGCGAGTGAGCTCAGTTTTTACAGAAGTCGCCTAAACTCTGAGCTTGTCCCCCAAAATATGGTCCAGTTCTTTGTAAAATGGACAGGTTACACGTCCACGACCGCTTCGTTTGTTCGAGTCTTTAGCCTCCTTGTATTTGTGTCGCAAGCTATAAAAATAAATTATATTATAAAAGTAATGAATTACTGTAATGTGTTGCTTTTTGCTGTAACACAGTAATGTTTGGCATTACAGGGAAAAAATTGTAATATTTTACTCAGTACAAATGTCAGTAAGCCGCGTTACAATGCTTTTTTAACCTGGATTGAAGTGGTGGGTTTTTCATTTTTTCTTCATACAAATTCGCTAAAATCACCGCGATATCAGCAGCGGTGAAACACCATCGTTATGGTTCCGAGTGTCAGGACGGGTCCAGAGGTGCCAGACGCAGAACTCCGATGCAGAGGACCGACGCAGAACTCCACACTCCACGGGGCGAATCGCAGCCGACACCCGATTGCACTTTATTGACACCCTGCTCCATGGACTCGGGGTTCTCTCAGGGGCAATCCTAGATTTCAAGATCTAGTCCAAGATTAGTCCTGGTTTGGTCCTGGTTCAGTCCTCCTGGTTCCCCCCAAATATTAATAAACTTGCTAACCCTACTTTCCCTCCATTGACTAGACTCCAAGCCTGACATGTAGGTGGGATGAATGCGACCTGGCTGTTCAAACTGAAGTCACATGTCAAAAGATCGGACATGTATCAGTTTTAGGAGCACATATCCAAGTGGCCTGAGTCAAATTTGAAAAATTTGATCTGTGTCATTGAGATTGTCATTAAAAGATCAGATACAGGAGTATAGTGCTGAAAAAATCAGCTTCGGATCACTTCAGGCTGCAGTCTGAATGTAGCCTGTGTTATCTTTTATTGTTTTGAAAATGCTATAGTCGCCGAAAACATCTTGAATAAGCTCCAGTTTTGTTTTTGACGCTCCCCGCAACAAAATCAGTGTGCATCCCATTAATGAAATGACTGCACATTGCATCAGATTTGTGAAGTTGTCGTGGATTGTTTTATATCATGCTGTTATATATATTTATTTTTATTTATGAAAAATGGTGTGCAAGAGAGCGTGGGTGATTGTGGGTTTTGGGAGTCTTGAACAGAATCTTCTTGAGAGATCAGTAGAGGGAGAGATTGCAAGATTACTTAAACATGCATGGAGGACATCTTAAACCGCTTGAGGTATGTTTTTGAGGAAGGAACAATGTGATAACATGGTAGAAACTCTAAAAAGTCAGTTGTAGTGTTTGTTTAAGATACAGTAACATAATAATATCTGACATTATATAAAGAAACCACAGTGATAAAAGTGCCCATACCTCTGTAGTCTGGTACTCAGGGCAGCCTGCTCTTCCAAAGCCTTGGGCGTGCGTCACTCCATCCAGACAACATCCATATCTGTGAAAGAGAAACATGAGAATTTACAGCTATAACTCCGCTGCAGAAGCTTTTTAATAAACAATGGAGATTGTGTATGTAAAATATCTGTGCACACATAATCCCACGTGAGACACAGGTTAAGATGTGACTAGAAAAACAAAGTAGGATGACAAAAATATGATGCATCTACTCTGTATTAGTCCATAAATACTTTTATCATTATTTATTTAAAAAAAAAAATCAGATTTATTGCCAGTGAACAAAATTCACATCTGATCTAGTTTAGCCGATTTTTTTTTCACCCAGAGTCACTGTGCCCGTATTCGCCTGACAGGGTATCGACAGCTTTCATAAATGTCTGATTTTGTTTAGGAATTCTTTAGAATTTTTTCAATATTAAACTTTTTTTAATCATTAAAGTGTCTAAAAGTTAATTTTGTAAGAATTATGACCGAATTATAATTCTGCATCGACTCAACGCACTCCGCTGCCCTCACCTTGTCGCCGTCGATTTTGGTTTATGGATCTGCCTCGAGGTCTATGTGCAGCAAAGAAATTCCAATGCCACAATGTTAGGAGGCTAGGACTGTGTTTGTGTAAACAAAATGAAGCGGGAAATATATGTAGAACAGATGTAGAGAGGACCAGTCACAGCCCTTATTGTCTGCATCACTTCCCCTTTCTGTTTGCATCATTTCAACACGTAGTTAGAAAATTTTGGAGGTGCAAGTCGGTTGACAAAGACGCTCTGCTGAGGGGGTTCACAGGAATGCAACCTCTCTGCTTCGTAATACAGGTAAATTGACGCATGACAATGCCCAGACCCACTCTGATTGGACAGAACTTCATGTTTCAGACGTCACACATTTTGCGGTGTAAGGCCAGTATTCAAGAAGTAACAAGGAAGTCAAATATTTTTTGGCACGATGCACCAATGAGCGCAAGCACATGAAAACAATACTACACCATCTTGAGTTCACTTTCCAGATTTTATTATAGTTCTATTACATAATATTATTATTATATTATATTATTATACTTCTATGGTACAAACCAGTTCACCTTTGTAGTCTGGCCATTCTTAATGGCCAGATTGTGTTAAAAAAAAAGAAAAGAAAAAAACCTTAGATTAAATTTGGTTGAGTTACAGAGTTTAGGGTTGTCAAAAGTATCTGAAATCAGATTACTACAGTAAAACACAATAGGACTACTCATATGTGCAGGTTTCGAAGTTGTGTAGTAGTATAGTTGTTGTTATGCTGGTGATAGTGTTTTTAAAATTCTCATCATGTTACCGAAATCTGTGTTGAGTATCGAGTCTATTCCTCAATATCTAAATAAAGTTTGAAATTTCAGTATCGTACCGACACTAGAGCTGGTCCCGCTTACCTGGATCTGACGCAGTCGTCGTGGTAGCAGCCCCCGTACCTGGGCCCTGAGGCGGGGGTCTGGCCGTCGGGGCAGCAGCCGTAGTAGGTCTGGGCGCAGCGCGGGACCGCCACAGGAGGGTAGACGTCGACTCTGTTTACATGTGGCCCAGACGCTAGACGTGTAAACACAGACACACATGGTCACTGTGGTCGGACTGGAAATAAGCCTGACATGTACAGGGTATGATTAGCTTGTTTGTACTTCTAACTTTAAAACGCTTTATTTAGCAGGTTGAAAAATTGCCTGATAGAGCTTATGTGGTTCTGTAAAGGTCCTATATCACTCAAACTTGACACTTGTGAGTTTTAAGCCATGTTAGAATACCCCGGGTTGTGTTTGCTGAGTAATCTGTCCCAAGTTTCAAGTTAAAAGGACAGTCTGAAATTTTGGACATAGGACCTCATTTCCTAGTTCACCAGAGTGTTGGAGACGTTTCGGAGACACTTTTTTAAAATATTCCATCCAGTCCTTGTATTTGCAGAGGTCGCTGGTGCTAGACTAGTGCATGTCAATGGCCATAGTTATCCTGCCACTAAAAACAGTCTTACCCACTCCACAAAACACCTGAGGCAAAACAATTATAATGCCAGACTGTTGATGTAAATGTCTGTGCTGATAGAATAATTTTAGAAGTAAAACCAACCTTGTATTTGAAGGATTTATGTCTGAGCTGCAGCAGCGAGTTGTAGTTCCTGATAGAAAGCTCGGCAGCTGCGGACTGATGTCACCTAGCCCCTATCTTAAGTAAAATTAAGTAAAATTCCGCTGCTGCTGAGAAAATAGTCCCTCAACATGCGACGATTCATTAGTCTGATTCATCAGCCAGTTTCATTTCATAGAAACCGTCTGATCTTGCAGCATTAGAATTCGTTCTCTCGATGGTAGGCGGGTACTTTTTTTATTTAACCATTCTCTGCTATTTGGTCGTGATGTATGTAATGATCCAAATCCTGTAGGAAGAAGAGCAATAACGTCTTCCCCTTAATAAAATTCACCAAACATTCTCTTTGTTCCGGCTTTAAATCCTCGATCTCGGGAATCGTTGTTAACACAGAATGTCTATCTTCGTCTACATCCATCTCGACGTTTTGTTTACTGTTGTGCTCTACCACAAAAGGGACCCAGACAGGTGCGACAAGTTTGACGTCATGGCTTCACAGCTCTTCGCTGATTGGCCGGTGTGCGGTTTACAACTTCCAGGGTTCTTGCAAACCGTTTAGTGTATTTTGATTCCTGACTTAGTCGCTGGATGGAATATTTTAAAAAAGTGTCTCTACACGTCTCCAACACTCTGGCTCACTAGGAAATGAGGTCCTATGTCCAAAATTCTGGATTGTCCCTTGAACAGTTATCTTTATTTACCTTTGTTTAGTCGATATTGGAAATTCTTGGGCATCAGCCAAAAGACTGAAGGTGTATGGAGTTTAAAAACACAATGGAGCTCTTCCTGTATTACCACATGACATCAAAAGGTGGAAGAGAGTGTTTTCTTGTGTGTTAAACTTATGTGAATGAAACAAAACACAACTCCAGGTCTGTTTGTGATGAGAAAAACGATATAGACCCTTTGATTGAAATGATTTATGACAGAGCCCAAAGTAAACAGACGTGTTTGGATGTTAATGTTGAAATAACTAATTTTACTTTAGTGGTTGTACTATATGTACCTGTGGGATTCTCGGGGACATGGGGGACAAATCCTCGCATGGTGGTTTCATGTGTCCTGGGATCTTGGACACTTGGGACCCCTATAGACACAAGACAAAAGAAATGAAAAAGGAAATGTCCAGTTTTCAGTGGTGAAAGTTGGTGTTGTTGTGATACAATTTTTTTGGATACCGATACTTTGCCTGAGTGTATCTGCTGATACTGATACCAGTCCAATACACATACAATACAATACAAAACATATTGTGAAGAAATATCTAAAGCTACACAATTTTGTCACAGTACAAGAGCAAAAAGTAAAAGTTTTAGGCTACGCTTACATGATGACGGTCTGAACAGAAGATGCAAAAGTGGCATCGCGTCTTCACTTTTTATTCCGTGTTTAGACGAGCGTTTTTGGGAGGAAATCTGCGTGCATACGGTGAGGCAAAAGTGTGTGGAATTCAATTGTGTATGTTTGTACTTAAAGCAACAAGGGCATACGTAAGTTTTCACACCACACATTTTCATCAGCTACTCCTTCCAGAAAGTTGTACCACCATCATCTGATTCTCCAGGTCTCCTTCATTTCCGTCTGACTCACCTGCGACGACCTGGTGCATCCAGAATTTGACACAGGTGATGGCAGATCCTTCTCTGGTCACTAATAGTATCTCTGCAGATTATGTACATTTGTTAGGAGCCTCCTGTAAGTTTATTAGAGCTGCCAGTGCTGCTTGAAGGTCCGACACATGGAAATGGATTCGACATGTTTGTTTCTGTGTACTGTATGTATGTAAACGTGTACGTGACCTGAGCCAATCTGACCAGAGTTTTGCGTCTTGGGCAGTGTTGATGTAAATGCTACAGTGGAGTATATTCAACTTTTCCACTCTGAAGGGTGGGTTCAGATTTTTGCATTTTTTAAGCCCTAAAAACACCATCACCATCTAAACAAAAGGCACTTCCAATAAAATATTTAGTAAGTGTTCTCGCGTAAACAGGCCCATAGTATCTCTAAAGAAAATCTCCAAGAATAAAAATGAGATTTTGAGAACTAAAGTGTTAGTCAAATGTATAATGATCCTGACGATGAGTTGTGCCGATTTAAGCATTTTTACTTCTCTATTTCGTCACTTTCTACTACAGAGCGAGGATGAAAACAACAGTAAGGTGTGAGATGTTATTATTAGCGTGTTTTAAGTGTCTACAGAGCCTCCACAGTCTGTATTTAACCTGCTCTGGGCGTTAGAGGTAACATTAACCACAGACGTCAACAGTGGCTGCTCACATCTACAGGTCCTCATTCAAGAAAACCAGAGTAGTAATAAAAGTGGTGTAATAGTAATATAGGTGTAGTAGTAGTAGTAGTAGCAGTATTTTGAACAGTGTAATGTTTAGTAATTAGTAAATAAAAGGGTAAGAGACTAAAAAAATTATAGATTTGAGAGTAGTAGTTGTAGAAGTAGTGGTAGTGATAGTGGTAGTAGTAGTAGCAGTACTTGTAGTAGTTGTTATACTAAAGGTGGTAGTAGTTGTAGTAGTGTATTAGTAGTAGTGGCGCTAGTAGGAGGCACTAGTTGGCTGTGGTAGTAGTAGTAGAAGTGGTGATAGTAGTAGTGGTAATAGAAATGGTGGTAGTAGTAGTACTAGTAGTATGTCTTTACTCTGAAGGTTTGGGTAGGGCTGGCTGTGGTAGTAGTAGAAGTGGTGGTAGTAGTAGTAGAAGTGATAGTAGTAGTAGTAGAAGTGGTAGTAGAAGTAGAAGTATTGGCTGTAGTAGTAGAAGTAGTAGAAGTGGTGGTAGTAGTAGAGGTGGTAGCAGTAGTAGTAGTAGTAGTAGTAGTAGAAGTGGTAGTAGTAGTAATAGAAGTGGTAGTAGAAGTGGCAGTAGTAGTAGAAGTAATAGAAGTGGTGGTAGTAGTAGAGGTGGTAGCAGTAGTAGTAGTAGTAGTAGTAGTAGTAGTCCTTATTCTTGGGGTCTGGGCAGAGCTGGGTGTGATAGTAGCAGCAGTAGATAGTAATAGTAGTAGATAGTTGTAGCAGTAGTAGTAGTATGTCCTTACTCTGGGGATCCGGGCAGAGCTGGGTGTGGTGGTAGTAGTAGTAGAGTAGTAGTAGTAGCAGTAGTAGTAGTAGTAGTAGTTCTTACTCTGGGGTCCGGGCAGAGCTGGTGTGGTGGTAGTAGTAGTAGTAGTAGCAGTAGTAGTACTAGTAATAGTAGTCCTTACTCTGGGGGTCTGGGCAGAGCTGGGTGTGATAGTAGCAGCAGTAGATAGTAATAGTAGTAGATAGTTGTAGCAGTAGTAGTAGTATGTCCTTACTCTGGGGATCCGGGCAGAGCTGGGTGTGGTGGTAGTAGTAGTAGATAGTAGTAGTAGCAGTAGTAGTAGTAGTAGTATGTTCTTACTCTGGGGATCCGGGCAGAGCTGGGTGTGGTGGTAGTAGTAGTAGATAGTAGTAGTAGCAGTAGTAGTAGTAGTAGTAGTATGTTCTTACTCTGGGGGTCTGGGCAGAGCTGGGTGTTGCAGGACTCTATAGTCTGGGGTCTGCTCTCGGCTCCACACTGGGCCTCTGGGTACGGGTGCAGGTCGGTGTCGAAGCAGCCCACCCTCCTCTCCCTCACCCCTCCTCCACAGCTGCGGGTGCACTGGACACACAAACACACGGGAATTATGCAGGGAGCCAGTACCGATATCCGATAACTGCCTTAATTTTGTGGCTGATAACCGATATTTACTTTTGTAAAAATAATGACACAATGTATTTATCTGGGATAAAAATTCATATTTTCACACGAGTCTGTTCAAAAAGTGTGTAAAATCCCTCAGTCGTCCAGGTAGAATCCTAGCCTGATTCATCTGCCGGTTTCACTTTGTAGAAACCGTCTGACCTCGCAGCATTAGGATTTGTTCGCTCAACTGTTGGCGGGTACTTTTTTATTTAACCAATCGCTGCTGTTTGGTTGTGATGTATGTAATGCGCCAAATTCTGTAGGAAGAAGAGCAATAACGCCTTTCCCCTTGATAAAATTTACCAAACAATTCTCTTTGTTCCGGCGTTAAATCCTCGATTTTGATGCTTTGTTTACTGTTGTGTTGTACCAGACAGACACTTGAGTTTGACGTCATGGCTTCACAGCTCTTCGTTGACTGGCCGGTGCACAGTCTACAACTTCCGTGGTTCTTGCAAACCGTCTAGTGTATTCTGATTCTTGACCTAGTCGCTGGAGAGAAATGAAATTGAGCGGAGACACTAGGTGGTCCAGCCTGGCTAGAAGAATCCATGGCAAAAGGAGAAATTTAGTTTGTCAGCTGGACAAAATTTTATTTGGTCAAATGTGTTTTGTAGCTCATCCAAGTTGCTTCTTTGACCAGAACTAAAGAAGCAGCTTGGATAAGCTGCAAAATGTATTTGATGAAATAAACTTTTGTCCAGTTGACAAGTTGAATTTCTCCTTTTGCTCTGTTCAAAAAAACAAATCTGGTGCACTGAGGACAAACTGGGAATGGCATGTGGGCACTCAGAGACTTGATCAGGAATCAGGAAGTGTGTGTTAGAATACTAGTTGTTAGCTTTATCATGATGGCTAAACTAGAGTGACAAGATTTTCATAATTAAAAACTGGGACAACCCCTTTTTGGGTTGGTTGGTAATAATAAAACTGTCAAAACAAGTGCGTAATTAAGGAAAATTATTGCATTCTGCCCATTCATGACAAACCTGTGAGTCAGTATAGTCACATTTTCTTCATGTTTTGGTCATTTTTAAGCAGCTTTTCTGTATTTTACTGAAACAAATAACAGTTTATGCCTCTCTTTACTGTTGGCAGGAATAAAACTGGTCAAAATAGGGACACCTGGGGCATTTCTTGTATAAAACTGGGACATATCAGCGGTTTTGGATAAATCTGTTGGGACAGGGGGCATAGGGCTCAAAACTAGGACTGTCTCGGGTAAATATGGACTGATCACACATAAAAACATTGAAATACAAACTGATAAACTAATACGAGAATCACATTTCAGAAGTTTGTATTGCTCTAAACTTTAAATCTATTTATCTACAGTATCTAAACTACAGGGTTAGCAGTTTTTATGCAGAATTAGTTGTTTATGATACATTAAAAAACTGGGATTTGCTAATTGCGTCCATTCAAATAAATCTTTCATTCTGACTTGGAAACTGTGCCTTTCTCAAGAGCACAGAACAGTGTGGGGTCACTGGATAACTCACCAGTCCGTAGTCGGTGACGTGCCAGGTGATGTGGGTGTAGCAGGCGGGTCGGCGGCAGGTGCGCACTGACTCCGGACGGGTCAGGCCGCTGCAGGCGTGCTCCGACAGGCGCTCACCTGACATTCCCACGCAGTGCACCTCCCGGGTCTGCTGCCCCTCCCCACAGGTCACGGAGCACTAGTAGACACAGTATACTAGGTTAGGGTGTGTCTGTGTAAAACCTCAGTCATCCAGGTAGGTTCTAGGGCTGAATGATTTGAAGAAAAAATTTAATTGCGATTTTTCTGGCAGATATCGCAATTTTGATTTCATCCATATTTTTTATTTTATTCTTTTTTTTTTTTCAAATCAAGTTTTAGTGCACATGAACAATTGCAAACATCACAGAAACTTACAGAGTCCTGCACCAACGATTTGACGCTGGACCGTTTGCACACATTCGTTTATGGCTCATTTGAATAAACTATAAACACCTCACTCCTTGTGCCGCTGTCTGTCAAAGTAAAGGACACGACTCAGTGGAATATGAGTGTTCTTTCTGTGACAGAGGATGTGCTGATGATGGTGAGTCTGTTCTGTGCTTCTATCACATTGGAGATGGGTCATGTTAAACATTTCAGTATACTGCAGGTATAATCTGCAGGTCATACACATAGACCATATATATGAATGGACATATATTCTAGCCTCTTAGCATTTTGGTGGTGAATTACTTCACGGCGCAAAGACCTACATCAGTGTATCAGCGTTTTCAGGCATCCACACAGTGTCAGATCAGATCTGTACTCAGATGAATTTATGGGAGTTGGCGGCACCAGATCGTTCTGTCTCTGGAGCTGTTTTCAATCGGATTAGTGTGAACGAACACTGCATCCACAACAAAAACGACTCGAATATGCACTAGTGTGGACCAGGCCTTAGAAATCACTTATCTCCTATTTATAACTCAATCGTCAGACCTAAATTAAAACGGTGTAAACAATCGTGATAAAGTTAGCTCCTCCCTTTAGTCAGATATAACACTCTGAAGCGTGAGTGACTTAGCATGGAATAGGGAATATAATGTTTTTTAAAACCATAAACAGTAACATGGTGATTTAAATGTTATGTGTTTGCAATTACTAGAAATAATACACAATAGAACCATAATATAGCAAAATATACAATACATAAACATCTACTCACTGCGCTGAAGCTGGAGACGCTGTATTCGGCGGCACACGGGCGCATGTTGCAGGCCTGCTGACTCGCCGGTCTCTGTAACCTCTGGCTGATGCAGTAAGTCTCCTCCACCACACGAGGGTGCTGTGGGTCCTGGATCCAGCACTCCACAGCGCGGTACTGCATGCCCCCGTTACAGGTGGCAGAGCACGGACCGTACGCGCCAATTTTGTAGACGTAGGTGTAGGTCTCTCTGGGCTGAGGGGAAACCACCACTTGAGCAGAGGAGAAAACCGTGTTTGAGTCACCCTCGTCCAGACCCATGATCTCCCCGCGGCTGTAGGTCTAAAGGAGAGAAGGTGTAGTGACAAGAGGTGAGCTGCAGGGGGAGTAGAGAGCAAGCAAGTCTGTTTATAGAGGAGCTTTTATCGTGATGTTAGCAGTGCATTCAGTTTGCATTAAAGTTGATTCTGGAGTTGTATTTAATTTAATTTCACGCTGGATTCAGTAATCCTCTGTAAAAATAAATAAATAAATAAATGAAAAAGTTCCTGTGCCTCTAAGCTTCAAGATTGTGAATAGAAACCCTGCCCAGTTTAAAGTCCATAAATCATCACCAGACTGGTTTTAAGCATTTCTGCTGTCATTACTGCTGCATGCTTACATTTACCTGTCCGAACATGTTCCTCATTACTCACTGTATATTCGAGTGTTTTCCCTTTAGTAATTCCCTCTGCTGCCAGTAGATGGCAAGCTGCACCAGATGCTTGTTTTTTGCTTTTTTTTTTTTTTTTGTTTGTTTGTTTTTTGTTTATTTATTTATTTTTAATTTTTTGTATTAGGCATTATCTTTAGTCCGAAATGAAATTCCAAAAGACCAGTGCTTAAGGCCATGTTTAAAGGCCAGTAACAATATACGTAATTCCTAATATTTTTTCTTTAAGTCATAAAAAAAATAATTTTAAGTAGGTAGTACAATTAGCAGTGGCAGTGGTAGAATGATAGTGGTAATAAAAGTAGCAGAGGTAGCTGTAGTAGTTGTAGCAGTTGTTGAAGTAGTGGGTAGAGTGGTTGTAGTAGTAGTAATTAGTAGTCGGTAGTTAGTAGTAGTACATTTTTCAAAAGGAGTGAAAAGTAAAAGTATTTTTATTATTGTCTGAGACCTGCTGAAACGACTGAGGTTTTATTTTTAACATGTTCATAATGTGAAAACAAAAATATACACATAAAAACAGCAAGGAAAAACAATAGGTTAAATAGTTTCTGTTGAACAAAATACTTTTACTTTTTGTTTTTCAAGTACATTTTTAAATGAGTACTTTAATACTTTTACTAAAGTCGATTTTACCATGTGATGCTTTTACTTTTACTTGACCCTGGTATTTGTACTTTTACTTGAATAAGAAAAACTGAGTACTTTGTGTTACTTTTCTATGTTTTGTTGTTGTTGTTTTTTTGTTTGTTTTTTATGTAGCCTACTGTCTGCCTACTGTATCTGTCTTTTGTTGTGGCGAAACATCTCAAGGGGCTCATCCTCCAAACAAATAAATTTACAAAAAAATAAAAATACTTCTTCCACCACTGTAGCCTCTATATTTGTTTTGGCAGTAATAGATTAACGTGTCCCTGATTGGCTGCTCCACCTGCCAATCACCGGACCATAAAAAATATTATAGTCTTCAGTTTTAATGTATGTTGTGGTTATGTTGTGCTATGACTCACCCTGCAGACTCCATCTATACAAATGTCATTGCGTCCCCTGTAGCACTTGGTCCCGTCCACCACTGTCGGTCTGTGTCTGTAGGAGAAGTTCTGTCCTCTGGGCGCACAGTTCAGCTCACACGGGTTAGACGCTGGAGACGACACAAAACAACACAAGCAGTTTAGTCCAAGTTTAGACCTGCAGTAGTTCCGTGTTCCATGGTAACAGCTGAACATTCCACCAAAAGAGATACAAGCAGAACACCCCAGCATGATGCCAATGCAAAGAACCAATATCTTACCTCCATAGTAGGCCACCCATGTGTGGTATTTGCCCTGGAAGTCCGAGCGGTCAAACTGGGCACACTGCTCCTCGCGGAAGTCCCTGGAGCCGGCTGGACATTCCTATTTGAACACAGTCACGAGGGAATTTATAACATCTTGTAGACAAATTGTAACTGTAAGTAGAGTAGTTTAGAGTAAAAGTGAAATTAGGCATTACTTGTGTGTTACAGATGCGGTACGACTTGGAGGATCCCATGCAGTTGTGTCCCCCATCAATTCTAAAAAACAAAACAAAACAAAAAAACAATATTAGATTTTCTGCATTAAAAGAAAGCCTCTAATCTAAATAATAAGAACAGTGATGTCAAGTAGGGGTGTACAAAAATATCAAAATATCAATATACTGTGATGCTAAATTCGATGATACAGTATTTTTATTGTGGACCTAATGTCAAGCCTCTCTGTGTGGATTGGCCATAAAGTATATTTTCCACATTTCATCTATAGAGCTGTGTTGCACATTCTTCATGGTTGTTAAAGGAAAAATGTTACACATTGTTTGTCGAGATGGGATAAGATCTTGTGAGACAAAATTGCCAGGAGATTGTGCACATATGCTGAAAATGAGCTTGTGAGATTTTTTGCCCATGTTTTTTTTTTACTTTTGAATTGGATAAAAACTACTGGCGAGATACATTTTTTGAAAAGCTGCAGTCATGAAAACCGGTACTACAGCAAAAATATGAAATAAAGTAAAATAAAAAACAGAAACATAATCTCATCTTGTCTCGTTCTCATAGACCCAGTCTCGTGTTTCATTTCATCTTATGGAAATTGTATCCCATCCCACCCCTAATTGTTTATCTTGTTAGTTGCTTGTAAACTTGCTCTTGAGTATCTTTGCTTTCGTATGTCATATTTTGAACTTAAAACAATGTCTGTCTACAAAGAATGGACATCTTGTTCCTACAGATGCGCTCACTATACAAGGATTCGGTGTTAGGGCACCATCTACTTGCAGCAGAGGGAATTACATTTGAAAAAAAAACAACTCTTAGGGTTAGCAAATTTTAAGAAATGTTAACAGAAGTATGCAGTTGTAATAAACACAATTTGGCAGGACAAATGGTTAGAACAAGTCTGGCAATGATTTATGGATTCAGGGACACGAGAACTCTTGCGGGTAAAAACGACAAAACAATTTATCAGAAGTGCCTTTCGTTTAGACGGTGACGGTGTTTTTGGGGTTTAAAAACGCAAAAATCTGAAACCATCCTCCAGAGTGAAAAAGTTGAATACATTCCATTTCTTGAACGTATGCGGCTTTTGTTTAAAAGAGATGACAATAAATGCACTGACAGTATTTTGAATGTTAAAAAAACTATAATCCCAAACCATAAGGTGAGTGGAAAAGGTTAACAAGCCCTTTTTCAACTAAAAGTCTGATCAAAACATGTAGGTGCCATAAAGTCATGGAAAATTCACGTTAGGTCATGAAAAAGTCATGGAAAAGTTATAACCAGAACCCTGGTCATAACACAATTAAAAGCTTAAAAAAGTCAATTTGGCTTTAACCATACTTATGCTAGTTTAGTCTTTGTGGGTGGTGACTTGCCCAATGACACAGCAACACTATACATCAGCAGGTGTCATCTTACCTGGAGGTGACGCACTTCCTGGTCCTCATGGAGACTCCGGTGCCACAGGTCCGGCTGCAGGGTCCATATGGTCCGAACTCGCCCCAGTAATCGTGAACAGGCTGAGTCAGCTGGACAAACATACAGGTATAGACTCCCATTAGTGATGTAGAATGGAAAACAGGGAGCAATGGTAACATCCTATAACTGGACTCCTGGCTGTGCAGGTTCGGTTCATAGTTTTTGTGCTTTGGGATAAGCACATGTTTTGGTGATGATCTTTGCTTTCTTAATTAGATTGTGTTTCCTCATCACAAACATACCTTAGTACCAAAGTTGTCCTACCATACAATAGTTTTGTTTTGTTTCATTCACACGTTTGAGTAACTCTTTAATATTAGTCTGTTTACATCTCCAAAGCTCAAAATGTTCTGTTCCACCTTCTGGCTTGAAGCAGTAGTTTTAAAGTTAACATCTCCTTTTACCTTTAATTCAGTAGAGTAGAGATTGGCAATTTCAGGTCTGAAATCATCCAAATGATTCTAGTGAAGGTGAATGGAGTTTAAAAACACAGTGGAGCACTTCCTGTAGCCTCATCTGCCCCTCTCGACGTGGAGGAGCAGCAGCTCTACTCCGAGCTCCTCTCGTGTGAATGAGCTCCTCACCCTATCTCTAAGGGAGCGCCCAGCCACCCTGCGGAGGAAACAAATTTCGGCTGCTTGAATCCACAATCTCGTCCTTTCGGTCATTACCCAAAGTTCATGACCAGAGGTGAGGGAAGAAACGAAGATTGATGGTAAATCGAGAGCCTCGCCTTTCGGCTCAGCTCCTCTTCACCACAATGGTCCGATACAGCGACCACATTACTGCCAACGCTGCACCAATCAACCTGTCAATCTCACGCTCCGTCCTCCCCTCACTTGTGAACAAGACCCCGAGATACTCGAACTCCTCCACTTGACGCAAGGACTCTCCACCCACCCGGAGAGGGAGAGCCACCTTTTTCTGATCGAGAACTATGGCCTCAGATTTGGAGAAGCCACATGACATCACAATGTGTTTTCTGTTTGAACAAAGACATCTAAATATGCAAAATTTGTGCATTAAATATGTGTGAATGAAACAAAATACAACTCCAGGTTTGTTTGTGATGAGAAAACATTATAACATACATTAGAAAATAGCATAGTAAGGGTAAGTACATGGGGAAAACCAACTTAAACTTCGCCCCACCCAGTAATCAGTGTACTTCTTGCTGTGTGGGATGACGGCTTGCCACTTAGTCACAGTGACGTTTGTAGATTTCCCTGTCGGAATCCACCAATACTACAACCTCATATTTATAGAGTACAGTAGAAACAGTGTATGCAGAGGCTGGAGGAGCACACAACGTTCTCGTCTCCTCACTCGCCCCACACAACCACAGTCACCACCGCAGCCTGCTCCCTCTGAAATAGAAGCCAGCGTACGGCCACAAACCCTGCTGCTGTCCACATGATTACATAACTCTGGGTCACAACAATAATTTTCGGTTTTCCGTTTTAACAGTTTTTGGACATGTTGTTCTCGCACATACGGTTAAAGAGCCTCACATTGCACTATTTCTGATCTATGTTATGGAGTTATTTCCTCTTCACAAACGTACCTTGAGTTGTGTTTTGTTTTATTCATACACAAATCCAACATGTTTATGCTGTGTTCTTGTCTCAGACTGAAAACTCTCTCTTCCTCCTTGTGATGTCAGTAAGTGGCAATACAGAAAAAAAGTTACAGTGTGTGTTTAAACAATCCGTGTATCATTCGTTCATTCGTTTTTCAATATAAAACCAAAAATAAGAAAATGAAAAAAAAAAATCATTCATTATTTGTCTCCAAAACCAAAAAAAAAAAAAAAAAAGTCAGTTTTTAAACTGTGATGCCGGACTGATCCAGGACTAAATCAGGTCCGGGACCAGACCGGAACCAGACTGGGACTGAGACCAGGACTTAGACCAGGACCAGACCGGGACCAGACTGGGAACAGGACCAGGACTGAGACCTGGACTGAGACTGGAAGTAGACCGGGACTGAGGCTGGAACCAGACCAGAACAGAGACCAGGACTGAGACCGGGACTGAGACCGGGGACCGGGACCAGACCAGAACAGACCAGACCAGACTGAGACCAGGAACAGGACCAGGACTGAGGACCGGGACCAGACCAGACTGAGACCAGGTTGAGGCCTGGAACCACATCAGAACAGAGACCAGGACTGAGACTGGGACTGAGGCCAGGACCAGACCAGGACCAGACCGTGATTAAGACCGGGACTGAGACTGGGACTAGACCAGGACTGAAAACAGTTTAGTCCTGGTTCAGTCCTGGTTCAGTCCGGTATGTGGTGCAAAAGTCCGGCGTCGCAGTTTAAGTCATAAAAACAGGAAACGACCATTATCTGTTTTTTCCATTATTCATTTAAACACAAAATGAAGAAAACTGTTTTTTTTTTTTTTTCAAAATGAGAAAACTGTTGTTTTTTTCTTATTTTCTTATTTTTGGTTTTATTAAACGAATGAACGAATGATACACGGATTATAAACTAGAATTATTTGGATCATTTCAGATTCACTCCTCAGTGCACAAGCAAATATTAGAGACTTTCCACTGACAATCTCAACTGTATAAAAGGTAAAACAAAAACAATATTCTAAAATTAAAGCAACAATTCAAGGTAAAGCAGTTCAATTGAAGCTAAAAATACTTAACAAAGTGGAAGATGTAGACGGTAACATGGACAATAACTGTAGAACATTTACTCGAACTTATATGAATCAAACAAAACACAACTCCAGGTATGTTTTTGATGAGGTAACAACATTTTATCTTGGCTAAAAGCGCACAGGAGTCAGTTTTGTGTAATACATGAGCCTTACCGATAAAGCGGGGATGAGCAGAAGCTGAAGAACGCCAGCAAGGAGGAAGACGCCCATGTTGTCCACCAACTTCAGACCACAACCTGCCATGGAAAATACAGTAACATCAGTATGACAAGACTTAGTGTCAACAATGAAAACTGATGTACCACCACCAGGCAAAAGTTTGGACACACCTTTTCATTCGGTGTTTTATTTTTTTTTAATTCACTGAGAACTGTTACCTCTAGACTTTTAATGCTGCGAGCCACTCTAGTCACTTTAGTCTCAAGTTTGTTTTACTGGTATGTGTCTGTTTATCTGTCTGTGTACTCCTGATGGGTTTTGCACAAGTTTTATTGTATATGTGCAGTATTTAGTAGTTGATTAGTTTTTTGATATTATTATATTTTATTACAATGTGCTGTGTTCACTTTGAAGGAGCAGCTCTGCATCTCATTTTACTGAATATAATGTCAATAAAGGCTTTTTATTCTATTATAATCTGTGTATCATTCGTTAATTCATTTTTCAATATAAAACCAAAAATAAGAAACCGAAAAAACAACATGTTTTCTTCATTATTTGTCTCCAAAACCAAAATGAAAAAATGGATAATTAGTTTTTTCAAGTTTTCGATTTTGTGTTTAAATGAATAATGGAAATGGTTTCCCGTTTCCGTGACTTAAACGCGATGCGATGCTGGACTGAACCAGGACTAAAGCAGGACTAAACCAGGACTAAACTGTTTTCAGTCCTGCTCTGGTCCTAGTATTGGTCCCGGTCTGGTCCCGGTCTCAGTCCCGGTCCTGTTCCTAGTCTCAGTCCCGGTGTCAGTTCTGCTCTGGTCTCAGTCTCAGTCCTGGTCCTGGTCCCAGACTTAGTCCTGGTCTGGTCCCGGTCTAAGTCCTGGTCTCAGTCCTGGTCTGGTTCCAGTTTGGTCCCAGACCTGGTTCAGTCCTGGTTCGGTCCTGGTTCAGTCCGGCTTCGCAGTTTAAGTCATGTAAACGGGAAACAGTCGTTATCTGTTTTTTTCCATTTTTCATTTAAACACAAAATCGAAAAATTGAAAAAACTAATTGTTTTCAGTTTTTTCATTTTGGTTTTGGAGACAAATAATGAAGAAAATCGTTGTTTTTTTCATTTTCTTATTTTTGGTTTTATTTTGAAAAAGGTATGAACTAATGATACATGGATTTATTCTGTTCACTAGTTTCTACATTCTGGATTCACACAGAAGACCTCAAATATATGAGACAAGATTTATGAAATATATCCTCTTCGTGAAATGGTTTTCACTTCACATTTGTGTCAAATCAGGTTTAAGAAATGCCAAAAGTGCAAAGCAGTGAGCAAATCGTAAAAGCTATTTTAAAATTTTATTCGGAGTTTACTTTTTGTTTGCTGCATATCATATGTACAATCCAAACAAATTCGTAGAGACGGCTATAACACATATTATTTTCAACAGCATTAAAGCCATAGTATGTAACATTTTTTGGCCAAAAAATTTGACAAAATTGCATGCATTTGGTTGTGTTTATTGCACTGAAAAACAAAAAACAAACATCCTTACTGAGAGGGCTTGCATCTCCATAAAGAGTCTTATATTAAGAGTCTTATTTGGCTTGTTTCCATGGAAATATTGTTCCTTTAACTGCAGTATTCTACAGTATGGCATAAAAATGAGAGTGAAAATGTTCCGAAATTTAGGTTTAACTTTCTATTTCCATGGAATTGTGCAGGTGACGAGCCACCTCCACTTACATACTGTACCATAACTTTAATTGTAAGATAAAATTAAACAATTACAATTAAAATACCTTAAACTTTAATTGTAAAATAGTAATATGTAAAGATATAAACAAGAAAAAGTGCTGCTACTTAAAACCAGAATCAATAATATGTTGTGGTAAAAGTAGTTGTAGTTTTCTTACCATGCAAACTTGTCCGTGCACCAACTCCTCCTGCTCAGAACTCAGGAGGGACACAACTGTACTTAAAACTTATATTTTACATCTGCCCCCCTGCCCGCCCCCTCTCTCCTCCCCATCACCACACGCCCACAGTGTCAGCGGAGTCACAGGACGGGTACTTGAGGTTAGCGCCCCCGGGTGTAAGTGAAAGTAACTGTACTTTTATGTCTTAATTGGTACCTAGGTGTTTGTTTTGCAGCGTCATAAAAAAAGACTGGTTTCTGGAGGGAGAGAAAAGAACACACGAAAAATTTCCATCGGCCAAAAGTACAACATGCTCAAGAGTCAAGGCAGGCTCTTCACACTGTGTTCTAGTTTTGACACACGTTGGTATTTTAGCATAAAATGTTCAGAAAAAAGAGTTAATTAACTGGTTAGTTTGGTGAAAAACCTAAGCGAAGAAATGGAACTTAAACCTTAAAAGAGCTTTTACACTTTGGAATTTGTGTTTAGAGTAATTTGTGCATGTTTTTTTACCGGTATTCAAGATGCCATCGCTCTGATCTACTTCCATTTTCACCGATACATGCCCACTGTGACGACATTCTGATGTGCAGTTATCTACAGGAGGAGCCGACAGCTGTGTGGCGCTTTGTTGTGATGACATCAGCTCCCATTGGGCACCTCGGTTTTCTAACACGGAAGTCAGCGGATTTGCATTGCCTAAAAGCATCCTAAATTCATCTAACATCTCAAATATAATTACGGCAAACACTCATACCTGCTCGTAAAGGCGCTGTACCTGGTGTTTATTGTCTTAAAACGTCAAAAACAGAAGTACCGTAAATTCCGGACTATAAGCCGCTACTTTTTTCTCACACTTTGAACCCTGCGGCTGATAAAACGATGCGGTGTATATGTGGACGGATTCTTTGTTTGGCACATTGTCCATTCAAATATATGGTCTATGGTTTCGCAACACATCAGATACACGCAGCCTGAGTGCAGAAAACGTCACTACACTAGCTCACGATATCGTCAGCGCACTCAAATAGTTTATCGCTGTGTGATAAAATAAGTTATGATGCTAAATGAACATTAGTGAGGGGGTGAGGAGAAAATTCATGGATTCTACCTGGACGACCGAGGGATTCTTCACATATCTCGAGAACAACTATGAGCCAGCGACCGTTGGACTGGTAAGGAAGCCGGAAAAGGACACCAAAAGGTTAGCAGAAAAGAGGAATCATTTTCGCTTTAACCTTAGGTGTCGACAAAAGCAACTGATTTTCAAGACTTTCAACCAAACTAACTTTTGTCCAGTTGACAAACTGAATTTTCTCCTCGCCATGGATTCTACCTGGACGACTGAGGGATTCTTCACACATTAGTGAGGGGGATACGTCTTACCCGAAAATGACGAGAAGAAACGTCTCAAACTTCAGTAGCCGGACATCCACTCAGACCTGATTGATAGAACTCGCCCCGCCCTCCAAGAGAGTGTCTGAAATCTGCTGAAATCCTCCAAGACACTGACATGATACAGACAGGACAGAGACTCTTTCTGCAGGAGTCATGCGCAGTAGAGCCAAGTGAGAGACAGGGTGATGCGCCGAGGAAGTTTTGAACAATAATTTTGCGCTTCATACACACACCCTCTTCGTGGAAAACACACGAAGAAATACAGATGATGCAGCTTTTAAGTTAACGGCAACTGATGTGGCTGTGGAAGAAGGAAATTGAGCTGCTGCATCAGTGAGTTGATGATGAGATTTCGACGAACTGACTGAATGCAAAATGACAACAAAAGCGTTCAGAGGCGATAAAAGCAGACAGCCCAAATTTGAAAACCTTCTTGAAGATGTGGACACCTGTGGTTCATATTCAGGTGCGGCCTATATATGTTTTTTTTTTAATCTAATTTTGTTAATGCAGCTTTTATTCAGGTGCGGTCAATAGTTCAGAAAATACGGTACATTTTGTGGATTGTTTGCAGTGTTCCAAAGTTATTCCTCACTTACCCCCGGTTCACCCTGGACTCAGAGCTCAGCGGTGCAGCTCTGGTCCAGTGGCTGCGAGTATTCTGTGTAATTACAAGTATCGAGAGGAGTTCAGACCGCACACGTGCAGTCCGGTGGGGCACTGGAGCCCACCGTGGTCATTTCCCTCACTCCAACTGCATCCGGTCCAGCTCCAGACCAATGTGGGACCGGTCTTATTGAGGGGTGACCACGTGGTTACTCAATAAATCTTTATTTATTAAGTGAAAAGGCTGCGGCGTCCGTCAAAAAAGCATTAGGATGGTATTGAGTACTGAGTCGAAATGGAGTTTGCAAGTTTCGTTTTGTGACAACACACTAGAACCAGTGTTGCTGGTAAAGGTGCTGCGGTGCTCCGAATGAATTCCGTTGGGAGTTTATTGCCTGGTGTACACTGACTGCAAGTGTGTTTCAGGACGTGCTTAGAGCGGGTTATGTGTAGATTGCCTGTTACACCAACTATGACAACTGCGGTGCGTATTTGATGTGGGTTCAATTCAGTTCAATTCAAGTTTATTTATATATCACATTTAAAACAATTTCAGCTGACCAAAGTGCTTCAACGAAATAGAAGAAACAGTTGCATATATATACAGAAAACACGTTAAAGCTACATTAAAAACATCAAGATAATCTGACTAGCTTGTACTAAATGCCAAGGAGAAGAGAAGAGTTTTCAGTCTAGTCTTAAACTGCGTTACAGATTGAGAAGATCTGACAGGAAGAGGAAGGTTGTTTCACAGTCTGGGCACTGCCACAGAAAAGGCTCTGTCACCTCTCATCTTGAGCCTAGTTTTGGGTACGACCAACAGGAGCTGGTCAGATGATCTCAGGGCTCTGGGCGGAGTACAGGGCTGCAGTAACTCCCTCAAATAGACTGAACCCATGGAGTGCAAACATTTGAAAACAATTCAGAAACAGTTCAGTCGATAACACACGTGCAATGACCTGAAATCCGCTCCAAACCTCTGCTCTGTTCAGTAAAAATAGACTTGTTGCGGATTCTTTCTGCAGACCGACACCTCGTCCACACTCGCGCTCCTCAGAGGTCAGTGTGGCAGAGGTCAGTGTAACAGGGCACATTGGTTTGAAAGTCTTGGGGCTTCCCAAACCGCACCACACTTGCAGTCGGTGTACACCAGGCAATAGACTCCCAACGCAATTCATTCAGAGCACCGCAGCACCTCTACCTCCACCGCTGGGGCTAGTGTGTTGTCACAAAAAGAAACTTGCAAACCCGATTTCGACTCAGTACTCAATACCCATCCTAATACCACCACTTTTTTATTCCCACGTGGTCTTATATCAGTGGTCCAGGTAGGTTCCATAGTGGTCCATGTGTGTTTACTAGTCTATGTGCTCTTAAACTTGTTCTGATACAGCTCAAGATCATTCTAAAGGTATTCAGAAAAGGTTCATTTCATTTCATTTGTCCTGTGAATGGGACTAATCTAGTTTCAGTATCGATTCGCTTCTGATTTTCGATCCTTTTGAAAACCCTAATTTGGGCAAGACCAGTTTTGCTCAAATACTGTACATGGAAAAGATTGGGCACAGTACAGTACAGCTATTCTAGGTTTTAAAAATCACACCGTGAATAGAAGTGACTAAATAAGCTGTAGATTCATCCTCACTCCACCTCCAAGACCACTAAACACCAGACACAGGACAGCCTTCTGTTTGGACCAAATTTAGAGCTAGGACACCACAGAGGACATATACAGTATGGGACAGACAGGAGACTACAGATTGAATATACAGTATGAGGGAGACAGGATGACACTGAGGACAAATGGTAAAAGTACAGATACTGAGGCAAAACGTTACTCAAGTAAGAGTAAAAGTATTACATGAAAAATATCAACTGAGTATTTCACAGGTTTTGAGACATTTGCTTGTCTCCATGTTATTTCTGTGTCTTGAATGCTCCACAGTTTGGCATTTAAATTAAGTATCTTGCATTTATTTAGTGACATTTGCTCAAAATTTAAAAAAAGCATTCATTCTTGCTGTGAGTGGATTTGCTTCTCCACAGAACTGACTGACTTCAAAACATAAATCTATAATAAGAACTTACAGATCTTATTATACTTCCATCCTTCAGAACTAACTTGGCCTGTTGGCACCTCCGTCTTGTCTTTTTATGGAGATTTGTGTTACTCAATGTCATATGGTGGAACATTTCAGGTGATGCAATAATGCACTGCTCAAAAAAATTAAAGGAACACTTTGAAAACACATCAGATCTCAATGTGAAAATAATATATATGCTTGATGTCTGTACAAATCTGGACAGGACAATGTCTTATGAATAAAATGATTCCATCTCTTTTCATGTGCAGCCTACAGAGGGCGTCAATTTACAGACACCCTGAATATCAAAGTGAAATAATGATGTGGCAGGCACGTCCTTTTTGACTTGACTTGACTTCTCAGTTTCTTGTGTGGTCCAGGTGCTTTTGAGATGACAGATGGAGTCTTGTGGGATCTCCTCCCAGATCTGTGTGAGGTGCTCCTGTAGAGTCTGAGGAGCAACCTGGCAGTGTTTGATGGACCAACTATCTCCTTCCATAGATATGCCTCCCCAGACCTTCACTAACCACCACCAGTCTTCTCCTCCAGATTCTCCTCCAGACTTGTCTTCTCCTCCAGACTCTTTCTCCTTGTCTTCTCCTCCAGACTCTTTCTCCTTGTCTTCTCCAGACTCTTTCACATCTTTCACAGGAGCACAGGGTGAACCTGCTCTCATCTGTGAAAAGCACAGGGCACTAGTGGAGGATTTGACAATTCTGGGGTCGTCTTGCAAATGCCATTTGAGCTCCACAGTGCTGGGTGGTGAGCACAGGGCCCTCTACAGGACGTGGTGCCCTCGAGCCACCCTCTTGAAGTTTGTTTCTGATAGTTTGGGCAGAGACATTCACACCAGTGTCCTGCTGAAGATCATTCTGTCAGGCAGTGCTCAACCTGTTCCTCCTGCACAAAGGAGCAGATATTGGTCCTGCTGATGGGCT